CAACAGAAAGAGGCCAGACGACTTATGCAATCCGAACGGGAGAAAATTGTATCGGTCCATTCCCCATTGTTGTCAAGTAGCGAGATTCGACATCGATTGAAACCTGCAGGTATGGGCCGCCAAACTGATTTTGGAAAAATACTGGCACTTATACAATAAATTCATGAAATCCTCTGTTTCCATGGCGGTCGCTGCACATCTCCACAATCTGGGATTTAACGTCAGTCGTTAGTCTCCACAGATCGGTGGTGTCCTACAACCACTTTTCATCGCCACAACGATTGGGGTAGCCCAGGAACTGGATTTATCTTTGCTTATCACACCATCTTGCTCCATTTTCTGTAATGCTTTCAGGACACCTTTCCCGTGGACCGCAAGGGAGGACGCGTCGTTTTAGGAAAATAGGTTCACCGTCCACTTCCAACTTTACCGACGGTACCTTCATGCCACCATCGTTACCGAGACACTGTACAATCAGATGTTGACGATGTGAGATGATTGGCATATCGTTGTTGGTATGTAGTATGATTGATCCTTGTAGTAACCGCATTACTCGCAGGCCCAGAATAGACGGACTGTGGGCTGATACCAGGAATCGGATCGGGATTGACACACTGGATTCAGATTGAACGCACAACATCGTTTCGCCAAATAATTGCAACTGATGGCCAGTAACCCCAAGAGTGCGCACAGAAGTCGGGGCTAGAACAGCATGGAGACAAGTCGTAGTGGGTGCCAATTTCAGTAGGATAGATTCGCTGCTTCCTGTGACCATGATGAATCGATGCTCCAAACCAGACTCGAACCTCAGTGGGGCTAACACGAACTGGACGTTGGGTTCAGTGGTAAGCAGCGTGTAGATTGGGCTTGATTTCTCATCTGCCGTTGGGATATGGGAATCGATGAGGTTGCACTTGGGCATTCGGTATACCTTGCGGATATGGCCCATCTTACCGTATGCATGGCAGGTGGCATTACGGAATCAACAAGTCGAACGAAGATGGTATTCACCACGTGAAAAGCAGCGGTTGGTCGCAGCATTCAGTTGTGTTCGGCTTGGACTGGGTACTTCAGGAGCCTGGGGTGAATTATAAACATTGGGCGTGCCACGTAATGCTTTCGTTGATTGTCGGTGGAATAACACAGGAGTATCCGCATTTGTAGCAGCACGCAAATCATCACTTTGCTCACAGATTTTTCGAGCCTCAGCAAACGTGATATTTTTCTTTTCCAAAATCTTACGTTGTAATGAGATGTTGTTCATTCCAGCAATGAGACGGTCACAAAGTTGTTCTTCCAATCGATCACCATAGTTTCATTTTGACGCTTGTTTGTTCAACTGAAGGATGAATTTACGGCACGGCATGTTGGCAGCTCTGATCATTGAGTTGAACTTGGCCCGTTCAGTGGCCTGAAAATCCACTGGGAGAATGTGGTCCAGCAATAGGGATTTCAACTTCTCGAACGGCAATTCAACAGAAACATTCGGGAGCGCTAGATTTTTCACCACGGAATACAGCCCTCGGCCGCCCAACGTCAAAATGGGACCGATTGATTTTGCATTCCTCCTTTCCGGATGCCGCACCATAATTCGAAACATTCTACGCAGTGTTCGATTTCCGATAGGCTTCCTTGGAGGTTCAATGGTTAAATGGCAAGAATCTCCATTGCGCGACGCCAAATTGTGGTAATCGGAGTAGTACTGAATGTAGGAATACGAGAACCCGTGATGTAATGCTCAGAACTGAATTGGCTTCAACCCGAACTGCGGACACCAATAAAATACACGAGGACTTGATATCAGCAAATGCTTATGTTTATTGATGAAATTAGATCATGTTTTATAGAATGTAATAGTACATATGATTGGTTGAATAACCGTCCTCCAATAAGGTAAATGTTTGCGCCGACGCATCATATGTAGTAACTCGGATGTCATGTTCACCTGGTGTACCATTGGTCGAGCATCCTGAACGGTGATTGGATGACATACAACTATACCCGGTCGCGCATGGATTGCGGTCACGGAAGTCTGGATCACCACACCTAGGCATAAGGTGAGCAAACACCGACCAGTTAGCCTGACATCGATTCTGTGCAAATGCTCGGAACGAATCATCAGGGGGCAAGTATGTCAGCACCTAAGCGCCCACAACCTCTTAGCACCAGCGCAGCATGGGCTTACCGAGAGAAAATCCTGCCTGACTTACCTGCTCAACTTTTCGGATGGGGTTACCAAAAGGCTGGATGAAGGTCAGCATGTAGAAGTCAGCTATCTAGACTTCTGCAAAGCCTTCGATTCAGTCAGCCATAAGTTGCTAGACCTCAAGCTACGAGATTCAGGCTCACAGGGGGCAGTGAGAAATTGGGTCGTGCAGTTTCTCAGTCATTGCACGTTCTGTGTGAAGGTTGGCGACTATCCGAGCGGTATCTCAAGGGTACCTCAAGAGTCCCTCAAGGATTAGTTCTAGTACCACTACTAGTTTTAATTTACATCAATAACTTGACACGAGATATCCAAAATCCCTGTTTCATATTCGCGTACTACATGAAATTAGCCGGAACAAACCTAGAGTTCGATGTAGAAGCGGGTAGACAATGATCACTTCAGTGGGACTTACCATTAAATCTCGAAAAGTGCCAGCTCTTAATCGCAAGAGCCGATACCGTTTGGGACGGGCAGCTGGCACTGCAGCACATGGATGCAGTTAAGGACTTAGGAGTCATTCTCACGAAGAGTTTCAAGCCCGAAATACAATGTGTGAAGGCAGCCAATAAGGCTCGTGGTGAGCTCTTCAGGTTGTGTGCTGCCCTTACATTTAGAAACGCAGAGATCTTTATGCAGCAGTTCGCCTCCAATTAGAATACTGTGTTCAGGCATGAGCACCATTCTATAGAAAGGATACATCATGCCTGGAGAAGGTGCAACGACTTGCTACCCGAATGGTAGCTGGGCAAAAGGGAAAAAGCTGTGAACAGCGATTGGGAGACCTAAATATCTTTCCGCTGCAACGTAGACGACTGTGAGAAGACCTGATAAAGACCTTTAAAATAGTCAGAGGGATACCAGGAATCCACGCAGATGACTGTTTACGGCTTCTCGTGCTCAAAACACGAGGAGTCAAAGCTTTAAGCTGCAACAGAATCATGCTAGGTTAGAGGTCCGGGCCAGCTTCTTCGCACATAGGGTCATACCAATGTGAAACAGGTTACCCGGTGGAATGGTCAACTGCATCAATGTGTACAACTTCAAGGCGGCACTGGATGCGCGTTGACCAGAAATGTCCCCTGAAGTTAGACGGTAATGTATCGTTACTAAGAGCCAGGTAAAGTGCAGTCCCGCACTATGGAATCGGGCCTTTTAATTACACTTGAAACTAGTATGTTTCAGAAAAGTAAGGCCTCTCACCGATGAGGCGAGAAGACATCTTTTCTGTTTTCTTCTTTCCAGCTCAACTGCGAAAACCTGGTTAAAGAAAACCCAGACAACGCAGTTTTGGGAGCCAAGAACACCCACCGACAACACAATAATCTGGACGCTCAATTGGAAAGGGCCGTTATTCGTATTTTGAAGACTAGACTGGACTGGACTGTACAAGTGAGGTGAAAGTAGTTCAAGTATATGGGGATGATACATTTAATAATAAAGGAGATGGGGAGGACAGTGTTTGGGAAAGCTAAAGATGTAGCAATCACCAAAGACTGACGAATGTTTTTCTTTTCGTTGATTCGGGGAAGGTCACGTCCCACACTTCAACACGCCTTTTGTGAACAGGTGGACGCTGAGACAATCTCATCGAGTAGTCTATTCCAGGCGTTGACCACTCTATGAGAGAAGTATTTTTGTGGTGATTCATGCCTATGTGATGACGCCTACCCTGGAACGATACGTTACAGTTTATGGGCACCTGCGATCAGTCATCAATGACGCGCGTACGCGCCAAGGCTTCTGGCTACACGCCATTGGTGCATCCTGCCAGCCAATCCGAGACATTGCAGACAGAAGCAGAATTATGCAAGCAACACTGCAATATGATTTGTAGAAGCCTAGATAACCAATGACCTTATTTTGTACATATTATTTAATCTCTTTCATTTCTTCCAACAAACCAACCACGAGTTATCAGTCTTGTGGCCTTTTCCTCGCGTCTCGTTCACGTGGGATATTGCATGCTCGGGCCATTGCGGCCCAGTGCTTTCGTAATCCAGTCCCTGACAGCTGATCCTAGATTCGTGTCCTCTGATTCCTATTGCATGGTTCGTGTTCTGAATTCCGTGCGTACTACTACTGCTACTACAACCATTACAAATTGGCAATAAGTGATGGAGCTTCCAATGATTGAGCAACTGAACCTGCAGGCAAGCCCACATGAGATCGAGGAATGGGTCAAATGATTTGAACTATGGTGCAGTATTCGCAAAGTTGGTGCATAGAACCAATCAACCCTATTTCTTACTGCTGGCAGCCGTGACCTCTACTCCTTGTTGAAAAACCTGGCATTCCCTGAGGCTCCGGCTGAACCACTACACGAGTTCCTGAAGTCGGTGCTGCTCAAGCACCTACTGCCCACTGAGTTCCAAGCACACGAAAGGGCCAAATTCAACTCCATGATTCGTGCCAATCATGTTTCCTGCCGTGCCTTTAATCTGCAGCTGAACAAAAAGACACCACGCTGCGACGATGGTGATTGTACGTCAACCAATTCGCACTTGAGTGACGCGTAGCCGAACCGATACGAATCCCGAATTGAAAACACAATTGATCCGCAATGTTCTACGATACTGAATTAACGAAATCATTACAAATGTACAAGAAAGCAAACCTCAAATACGCGGCCAAAAGCACTCAAACAAGTGAACCAACTAAGATGTCCAGAGGGAGGCAAACAGTCGCTCCCGTTCTCAAACCACGCAAAATTCAAATGTACCGGGCATCCAAATTAACAGATAAATAATGATGTGTGGTGTTTGTGATCGAGAAATGTCAATATAAGAGCAACACACAGATAAAGTTATTTCACCATAAATCATTATGGGTTCCGAAGCATTTTCAAAAAATTCAGCATGAAATACAGTGATCGCCTGGAAGAACAAATGTGTGACCGCTTGGTGGCAGACACTAATGATCTGACTCTCCAACGGAAGTTGCTGGAGGAGAAGGATTTGACTTTTGCCGAGGTCCGCAAGATTTGTGAGCAACATGGTGACTTAATGAAAACTACTTCCAACGACGCAGTCACATTATTTCAATGGCAGAAGACACGACTCAGGAAGTTGCTGGAGGAGAAGGATTTGACTTTTGCCGAGGTCCGCAAGATTTGTGAGCAACATGGTGACTTAATGAAAACTACTTCCAACGACGCAGTCACATTATTTCAATGGCAGAAGACACGACTCAACTGACCTCCAATGACCAAGTGTATATAGAAGCCGCAGCAAGACTCCTCAGGCAACGATAAACATACCAATCTCTGTTTGTCATGTGGGACTTACCATCTGTGCTCCAATTGCCGCTTCCGAAACGTCAAGTGTCCAGCTTGCGGGAAAGGTGGCCATATTCGGTGAGTGTGTAAACAGCCAACGGCCGCGAATGAGAAACCTCTTGTGCTCTCTCTACGATCCGAAAGCTAATGCACCCCATTCCTTTAAAGAATGTGACACTACGGTCCGGCCCAACGCACAAATAAATTGTTGACACGGGAAGCACGGAATCTATCATTTATACTACAGTACATCGGTCAATCTCTCCCAAAGACGAAATCCGTCCGACATCTGTGCGAACCCCTGGTGTGAATAGATACGAATTGCCATTTGTTCTGGAGGTTTCGTTGATGGTACATTCCACAGAAAATTGCTTGTTGTCATCCGCTTCTTAATTGCGAAAAACAGTCGATCCGTACATGGCTCACGTGGCATGACCTTCCCTCCCCCTCCTTCGTTCACCACATTCACCACATCGTTTGGTCCACTTCAATCCATATCAAATTTTCTCATCTTACTTGACCTCAACCCCTAAGCAAAAACAAATCACTTGACTCATTTATCCAACACTTTGTTCAAATGACTCATTTCAACCCTCTTGCTTCTTCGTTTCACGAGATCATATAAATGTGCTTTTAGAGCTGAATGAGAGCACGCGACATTGATGGCCAATATCCATTCTGCCCGCATATGTCTTCTGTTGTTGATGAAATGGATAAAGGGAAATGATGTTCCACAAATCCATATAATCACATGTCCTGGTGCCTCGTTCCATCGCAAGTTTTGAACCAATCTAAGATTAAATGACTCAGAAACAGGTCGCTACATTACCACTTCTTTTTCATTTTCTTATCCAGTAAGTTCTTCGTTACTGGTAGTTGATGAAAATTGTTGATTGTAATCAGTTTCTCATCTAAATGGTTACTGATAACTGTGATGGAAACTTCTTTATCGTAATCAGCCTCCAGTTTCATCCTTAGAAAATGAAGTTTTACAGTCGGAGGGACAAATGACTAAAAAACACAAGTCATTATATTACATTTATTCTTCTCTTCATCATACGGTAAACTCGTTGCTCCTGGTATTTGATGATTTTTGACTGTAAGCAAATATCACTGAACTCAAAGTAGCCTTCGATTAAGTTTTTTTGCCAAGCTCAGATGGATTCCCTTTTTCCTAAAGGAATGCTCCAGAAGTACGCTAACTTACTGAGGTCGCTAAACTCTTCTCAGGATGATTAAGGGACTACAACGAACTGAGTAGGTGGTTCGTCACCCGCAATGGCGTTCGGCAAGAGTAATCTTATTCCATTTTGTTCTTAGATATGTTTCGATTATCGGTTTTAACGTAGTTTACCCGAACGGGACTGAGCAAACCAGTATTCTGGAGGTAAGCGGTCATTTTGTGTACTGACTGTTGCTGAGACTTCTATCGCACCACCAACATATGTGGTGGCTTTTGGTTCGGCGTTGTTTTTCTTTATGACCACAACGATTGCACAGTGTACATTTGTGTTTCTTGTAACGTCAACGTTTCACAAATTACCCTTCACCGCACTGCCATCAAGCTGATGGAGGCTTTGTTCCAGCAAGGCCAGTTACTGTATCAGGCTGTTTGGAAGATTCTTGCGCTACATGAAAAGGATTATTGGATGATGAGTGCTCCAACATGCTTGTGTTGTGCTTGCGATTCATGAGACGTTGAATTTACGAGTGACCACTTGCTACGTTATATCGGGAGATCGTTTGATCTTGCTTAACAATGATGTTTTGTAATCACTGTCAGAAGGGGACTGGAGACCACAGACGAAAATCAACCATTTGAACTGATCCTCTGTCATAGTAGATAACTTCAATTGTTCGCATCCAAGACTGACTCTACCGAGATAAGTGATAAAATCCTCGTCTTTTTGTTTAACCAGTTTCATGCAATGGTAAAGAATATTAAGCAAGGACGAACACTCTCCGAAAATTTCTGACAGTTGCTGGACAGTTTCATCTAAGGTGAAATCGTAGGCATTTTTCGGTCAAATGAAATTGATGTAGACAAGTTGAGTACTAATGTGAAATGTCTACACCGGCTCCCAGCTCAGTCCGTTTTGGGTTCTCCGCTGAATTCGCTTTCAATACCGTTGTTTCAAGTGGAAAATGCTGTTGTTGTACTAATTTCACGACGCTGCTCTAGGCTCTCATTAGGTGG